TCTCTCTCTCTCTCTCTCTCTCTCTCTCTCTCTCTCTCTCTCTCACACACATACACACACACACACACACACACACGTACATACGTACGTACATGGGGATCTAATCGCTAAGTAAGATCTCTGTAATATAGAAGGAGACAAGAAGTGGGCCCAGGATAAAGTCTTGGGGGAACACACCCACAATTAGTGGGTTTGACCTGGATGAAGGACCAACAGAGGAGACTGAGGAGTGGTTAGATATAAGCAGTAGAACCAGAGAAAACAGTGTCACAAAAACTTAGGAGAGAGTATCCAGAAAGGAAGGAATGAAATTTAAATCAGTTGGCATCAAAAGTTTAATGCCTTTAAGAAAGCACAGCAATTCTCAAGGAGACAGGAACCTGGAGCCACAAGAAAACCACTAGCTTTGGTATTAGTAAGCCCGTCATGTAGGGAATCAATATTCCTTCTTCCCATTCCTAGATTCTCTTCCTGCTTGGCCACTTTGGTTAGTGTCTTCCCATCCTCACTGCCCTTTGCAAAAGTGTTTGTTCCATGTGCAAGTCTCTTACTATCAGTGTGATTTTATGTTCTTTGCAACATTTTTTTTTACTATGAATTAGAAAATCATCAGATATGAACATTTACATATATAAAGATGGTCAGAAAACAAGATTGTATATTGAACTATGAATCTTTACATAACACCTTGATTTTTTTTTAGTGTATGTTAAATTTAGTGTAGTAGTCCCAAGATTGTCCTGCATGTCCATCACCTTCTGAACTTCCCTTTGCTTTCTTTTGTGTGTTTTTTAAGATATTTCTTTGATGTTCTTTTTTTTTTGTATCATCACTATTCTCCAGCCTTTCCTCCAGTAAAAAAATCTTGCTTGTAACAAGCACAGTTAAACAAAAACAGATTTTTGTTTTATTGCTTATATGAACTTATTCCCCACCCAAAGGATAGGAGGCATCCTTCTTTATCATTCTTCTGGAGTAGTGATTGGTCACTGCATTGATCAGAGGTCTTAAGTTTTCCAAAATTGTTTTCCTTTTCAGTGCTGTGGTCATTGTATAAATCTGCTTCTGCGCATGTCATTGTATCATTTCATAGAAGTCTTTCTAGGCTTTTCTGAGTCTGTTCCCTTTTTTATTTCTTATGGTACCTTCTTGGTTTCCAAGTTTCTTGCTGCAAAATGAAATGCTGCCTTTTTTTCAAACAAATTGGTCTTTTCATTTTGTCTTTGATCTCTTTTATATAAAGGCCTAGTGATGGCATCGTTTAGTCAAAAGGTATATGCTTCTTAATGACTTTTGAGGGTATAGTTTCAAATTGTTTTCCATAATGGTTGTACCAATTCATAGATCCACCAACAGCTGTCCTCTCACAGCTCCTCCAATCATTATAGAATCTACTTTCATAAGTTCCAGCTATTACAAGGGTTATATCTTGGAGAATATATCCTAATATGTTCTCCACATGAAGGCTTATTTATCTCCTTACAGAAGAAAAAAATGATTAGTCAAGCTGGTCACATTTCTGTTTTATAGTTACTAAACTTAGCATCTATTTGAATAAATGCATCATTACTAAAAATACTATTAAAATTTACTATATATGAAATCTTTTTAATTGTTACCTTTTTAAAAGTGTTTACTTTAAAAAAAATAGTCTGCTGATGATTTGTCTCCTCTGTTTCAGGCTTGCTAAAGTACAAGAAAATACAATTGCTTCTTTAAGAAGTGCAGCTAGTCATGTATGTAAAATTTTTTCCCTTTAAATAACTTGTAACTATTGGGATAGAGAAAATGATGTATAAATTTTTCAGTAATCTTTGAGTCAAAAAGAGATCTGTAGGAATTGCTTTATGAGCCAATTTATCTTTTTAATATGTTTATCAGAATGTGTACTGAAAATTTGGAGCAAATTATCTCTCTTGATTGTTTCTTCTTCTGTAAGGTTACTATAATAATTCCATCATTGACCTGCAGGGTTGTTTTGAGGAAAGCCCTTTACAAACTTTAGATGTGCTTTGGATATTCAAGTGAAGAATATTTAGAATTGAATTTCTTCTTTCAGGATTTGCCTTTTTATTTTTTTGACTAATAACCAAATGAAGCATCTGTAGAATTCCATTGTTTTTCAATGTTCACATTTTGTCAAGAGGTCCAAGAATGATTTGTAATCTTACTTGTGCCTGGACTTGTTTACCAGGTTTTACTGAGGTGTATTACTTTAAAATGTGCTTTGCCACAATAATTTTAGTTGGAATTTATTCCTTGCTAAGGGATCCAGTAGTTATATATAAATTATTTTACATTTTTGTTCTTCAGTCATTTCAGTTGTGCCAGACTCTTGGTGATCCCATTTGGGGTTTTCTTGGCAAAGATACAGGAGTGGTTTGCCATTTCTTTCTCCAGCTCGTTTTCCAAATGAGGAAACTGAGGCAAACAGGGTTAAGTGACTTGCCCAGACCCAGTTTGAACTCGGGAAAATGAGTCTTCCTGATTTTATCCTCTGCACCATTTGGTGTATACTGTCAACATTTTCTAATTTTCATAGCTTTTTATAAATACAAGTTATAGTCTTGTGCATAAAAGGTATAAAAAAATTATCTTTGTATAGTATTCATTATATTGATAAAATGATTTAAAAGAACACAAAATCAAAGTACAACATTATCTTAGTGCCTACCCTAGAAATATTTTTTTCCTTTTTATTACCTCTTGATCAAGACATCTCTTGGAGCTGAACTCTAAGACATTATTAGCAAGGCAGCCGTGATTTTTGCCAAAAGAAAAATAAAACCAATACTATCCATAATATTTCAGAATTAAGTAGAATCAGGCCAGTGTATTGTCTTATTTCTATACAAAATGTTCTTTCACATATAATTTTATGAAGTATAGACTTCAAAGGAACCGGTAAATCTTTGATTGGAGATTATATAAAATTGAATCTTCCATTTTGTTTTTTTGTAATGTATTATGAAGAACTTCAATGCTAAGTTAAAGAATATTGAAAAAGCCCAAATTTTTTGGACATATTTACCTGTCAAGATTATGGTTTTACTTTATTGATGTCCTTAATGGTTGAGTTACGGAATGTACCTGTTCACTACCTGTTAAAATATATAAACTAGTCTAATAGAAATGAGAGATGGAACTTTTAATAAAAGGAGAAATGTTTTGAGGAAAATAATGAGTCTCTACCCTCATCTTTCACTTTGAGAGGTTAAAATTTACTTACAACGAACTCTTCCTAGTCAGACATCCTTACCCTTTTACCTGTGGTTAGCATCAGCCTTGTCCATTAAAGAGAAAATAATTTTCATAAATGAACATTTTTTTTCTTTCTTTTAATGTTTATCTGCCATCATAATGGGTAGTACCCATTATGTTTCTCTGTCATAGGTTATAATGATTGAAGGGAGGAATAGGGGGGAAAGACAGAATAATAGTGGCAACTTTTGCTGACAAGCACCCTAGCACTCTCTTCTTACTTTTTGTCACTTAGGATATAGTTCCTGGTACTGTTCTTACTTGAACTCAGCCTAGACAACACATTTCTTTTTATGTCCTCTTTCCCTACCTTTGGTGCCATTTTATAGGCACTGAAATGTGATGATCTATTCAAAACGGATTGTGATCTGTACCTGTGAAGGGAGCATCCACACAGAGATCATGAGTCTATCAAAATATCAAAATGGCATTGCATTGGGAATTATTTTAAAACATTCTTGAACAATTATGTTTTGACTCAGGAATATTCTTGGTTAGTAGGAATATGTTGACTGGCTGAATTTTATATGTTGGCATCTTTTAAGTTTTATTACATTCTTTGTTAAATTAAGCAAGGTAGTATTTACAGCAGAGTAGGTGTGATGTTTGGTAGATAAGACTAAACTTGAACAAAGTTTAATTTAAAATCGGTACTGTCTAGAATTACAAAAACAAAACTCAGAAAAAAATTTATCTGACCATATAGGAAAACCTTTAGGAGATTTGCTCATTCTTAGTGTCTTTACTTGCTTCTCTTAAATTTGCGTTTGCTTTAGTAAGCATTGGTATAAAATGCAACTGAATTTCCTTCAAACCATTGAAATAAGAGGCATTAATAATTTGCATGAGTTAAAACCATCAGTTTTACTCAGCAGAAACTAAATTCAGTATTATGTTTTTAATTTGATCGTTAGCTCTATGTGTGTAATCTAGCCCTGTAGTTTCTTCAGCGTGGAGAAATTCTTTATATGGAAACTCAGTCCACTGATGTAAATTAGCAACCTGTCTAAAATTTATAGTCTTAGAGAGATTCATGGTATGTATCAAAGACAGTATGTGAAAACTGATTTTTGCTTCACTATTCCACATTATGCCTCATTCATTACCTAGTTAAGAAAAACATTTTCATTGTTATATAGCATGAGGTGTTTTTTTTTTTTAAAGGATTGTTATAGCTCTTAAGTTTTAATAATAATAATAGCAAGGTTATTAATAGAGCTTTGTCAATAATAATAATTTTTGGATGGTAGTTGCCTTTCTGTTCTAAAATTACACAACAAATTTGTAAATATTAACTAAATCACAGCCTAATTTTTCATCTATCCTTTCTATAATTTTTAAAATTTCTTATAGGCACCATAAGATTTACCTTAATGCTTAATCACTTGTTTTTTTAGGGTGCAGCTTATGTAGAATTTGATGTTCATCTTTCGAAGGATTTTGTACCCGTTGTATATCATGATCTCACTTGTTGCATGACTATGAAAAAGGTATGCTAAGAATGTTTTATGAAAGTAATTACGAGCTAGTGAATTGTCCTTTCATAATAGTTAGCTTTTCAAAAGAGTCTAGTGACTTCTTGATGAAATATTTTCTTCTTAAATGCCAGATGAATAGTATTTTCCAGGGTATTTAACTTGAAGCAAATTCTTTTTCATTATATTTTATTCTTTGAACATTTTATATTGGAGGGAAACACTGATGCAAATACCAAACAGTATACTGAAACAGCAAGGACAGAGGGTGTAGGAGAAAGATAGACTGGTTTTCCTTTCCTCCTGTGCCATATCTCCTTTCTTCCCTTCCCTCCAGGTTCAAAATCAGAGTTCAAGTTCTGCTTCCAACATATATTGGCCGTGTGACCCTAGGCAAGTCACTTAATCTGTTAGTGTTCTGGAAATATCTTAGACTCATAAGTTTCAGTGAAGGTGGTGACCTACATTGGTAAAAAGAGGTTCCTCATCCAGAACTTTCCTGCAGCAATGAAATCATAAATCCAGTTTCATTCCATTACCACTCCATTAAAGAAGCAACTTGTCGTAATAGAGGGCTGACCTCAGAGTCTAGCAGAGTTGGGTATAAGTCTTTCCTTTGATACATACTAGATGTATGGTCATGAGCAAGTCATTTAACCATTGCATTTTCTTTCTTTGTAAAATGAGGGCTTTGGACTAGATGATCTATAAACTCCCTTCCAGCTCTAAGGTTTGAGAGGAACATATAGATACAAATTATTTAGTAAGATCAGGATTACAGAATCAAACTCTAACCAATGTGGAAAGACTTCACAAAGGAAATTAGGGATTAGAATAGTTTCTAGGATATTGGTTACATTGGTAGTACCTAGTACTGCTTTAGCCCCTTTTCTGCAGAGAAGGAAAGGAGTCCCACCCCCACAAATACCATATGGTTATGAGACCCAAGAAAATAAATTTGTCTCAGGAGAAGAGGGTGGTCAATCTGCTAGAATTTATTAAGTACCACTGATGTGCCAGGCACTGTGCTAAGCACTAGGGATATAATGAAAGGCAAAAAGAAAAGTAAGAGCTGCTCTACCTATATGATTCTAGTCCCACTTTATAATCTACCTGCAGTATTTTTCTAAGATGTTGCTGATGGACCAGATTTAAATGATGTTGATCTAGCTACACAATAAGAATTATTCAATGACTTTGCTTTTCCTGTGCAATTGATTAGGCAAACCAAACTCTTAAGTGATTAGGAATCTGATATGGAAGACTGCAGTACCCTGGGATTTGATGTATGCAATCCAATGTCATCTATAAACAGGGACATCTAGAAGACAGCACCATTAATAGAATGTCTTCCTTTTGGTCTCTGCTCTGAATATCTTTCACGACAGTGGAATATACGTTTTGCGAGCATTTGTAACCCTGATTTATACATTATAGTAATAATTTATACATAATAATAATAAAATTAATAAAGAGGGTCTTTGAATAAAGTTCTCATTTCAAGAAATGTGTTTGATTTTTGACATGGGAGAGAACCCATTTCATTTCAATTCAACAAACATGTATTAAATACCTGTTAATGTACTAAGCATTGTGCTAAGCACTGAGCATACAAATAAAGACAAAAGACGATCTTCCTGCTTAGGGAGCTTACATTCTAATGAGGAAGATAATATTCAAGCAACAAAGTACAAACGAGATATATAGGATAAATTAGGGGTGGTCTCATAGGGAATTCATTAACATTAAAGAGGACTGAGAAAGGTTTCTTGTAGAAGGAATTTTAGCTGAAAGTTGAGGGAAATCAAGGAAGCCAGGAGGTAGAGATGAGGAAGGAGAGGATTGCAGGCTTTCAGGACAGAACAGCCCCCTATACCATTTGTTTCCTCTTTTCTATATAGCCTAACATCCTCATTTTTCAGAATTTTTCTTAATGTGATATACTTGGAATAACAGAGTTTGTTCACAACTTGGAATACATTCAGTGAAACTTAATAATCTTTCTGATTTTTTTTTAAAAGAAATTTGATCATGAACCAACAGAACTGTTTGAAATTCCAGTGAAAGAATTAACTTTTGAACAACTCCAGCTGTTGAAGGTAATAAGAATTTTAATTTTTCTTTAACTTTAGAAGTTCTTTTCTACATAGGAAGAATCCAGTTAATGTACTATCAAATATTAGTAAAGTGTGCTTCATATTTCTATTATTGGGAATAAATTTTATGGAATTCAGAATTTGAAATGGAAAGGATCTCAGAGACCAGTGAATCAAACAATAGAAATAAGAATCTCTTTAATGATATCCCTGACAAGTGGTAAATCTGATCTTTATTTTAACACTTCCAGGGAGGAGAGGAATCCAGTACTTTCCAAGGGGAGCCTATTCAATTTTTGGTTAATTCTAATAAATCTTTTCTTAAAATAAGCCTAATTTTCCTTTGTACAACTTCCGTCTATTGCTCCTACTTCTGTCTTTTGTGTTTGAACAGGGCAAGCCTAATTCCTTTTTCTGTGTGACACCTTTGAAATATTTGAAAACAGTATTTGTCAATTTTGATGCCCTCTACCAGGCTGGTGTATACAGGATTCTCTCCAGGTTATAACTGTCTTCTAACATCTTACCTAGAATGAAACAAAATTTTCCATATGTGGCCTAATGAGGCAGATAAATAATGACAATAAATAATGTGACTGTCAGTTCCCTAGTTCTGGACATTCTATCTTTCAATGCATCTTAAGATTTCATTAGCTTTTGGGGCAACTAGGTGGTGCAGTGGAGAGAGCACCAGCCCTAGAGTCAGGAGGACGTGAGTTCAAATCCGGCCTCAACACATGATACTTACTAGTTGTGTGACCCTAGGCAAGTCACTTAACCCCACTGCCTAGCCAAAAAAAAAAAAATTCATTAGTTTTCTTGGCCACTGTATCTTGTTGACTCGGTATGCTTTTAGGACTAACTTCTGTCTAGAGTTGCCTGTTCCCATGTTGAGTATATGAAGTCAGTTTCTGGAACCTAGGTATCAAAATTACACTTAACTCTTTTAAATGTCATTTCATTAGATTCAACCCACATTTAAACCACTTCTTCAGATTCTCAATCTCATCTATCCCCACTTTATGTCCTCTATAAATTTGTTAACCTTGCCATACGTGCCTTTATCCAAATCAGTGAAAAAGACAGCTGCATAGTGTAGGGCCAAGAATAAATCTCTTGGTAACTCAATTGGAGACTTCTTTATTGACATAGAACTATTAGTTCATACTCTTTGGGTCTGGACATTCAATCAGTTCTGAATCCATCTAACTGAGCTATTGTCTAGTCTGTATCTCTGTATCTTTCCTGCAGGAAGAGCATTAAATTTTCTCTGTTTTGCTAAAATAAAATTTACTTAGACTATATTTATAGCATTTTTCTTATTGACCAGAATAACAGCCATCTTAAATAAATGAGATTGGGTTAGTTTTAATTGACCTGTTCTTGATTAAGTCATATTGTAACTTTTTTTTTTTTGTGATCCAGTTGGGGTTAAGTGACTTGCCCAGTCACACAGCTAGTGAGTGTTATGTGTCTGAGGCCGGATTTGAACTCAGGTCTTCTTGACTCCAAGGCCAGAGCTCTATCCACTGCACCACCTAGCTGCCCCAAAGAAGTAACTTTCTTTTTGGGGGGGGGTTTGCTTTTTGGGGAGGCAATCAGGGTTAAGTGACTTGCCCAGGGTCATACAGCTAGTAAGTGTAAAGTGTCTGAGTTTGAATTTGATCTCAGGTCCTCCTGACTCCAAGGCCAGAGCTCTATCCACTACACCACCTAGTTACCCCTATGTTGTAACTTGCTGATCACTTTTTATTTTTCTACATGAAATCTAACTCCCATTTAATAATATGCTCTAAATTTCTTTTCAGAAATCATAGTTTGAAGGTGCTATGCTTTTCTGTTTTTTGAAAATTGGAACAGCAACATACTTTTTCCAAACCGTTGGCACCTTTCCTATTCTCCATGATCTTTCTTTTTAAAAAATTGTTTCCTTTTTTGTTTTTACAGTACCTACATTTCCTAGTACGATCTAGGAACCAAGATAAGCTGGATGGGATCAAATATGAGATGGAAAGATTACACATTGATATCTTTGGTGTCAGTGAACTTAAATGGATAGGAATAGGTGAATTCAGGTTATTATGATGTATAATACTGTAGGCAAGAATCCCTCAGAAGAAATGGAGTAGCCCTCATAGTCAATAAAAGAGCAAGAAAAGTAGTACTGGGAGTATAATCTCAAAAATGACGTGTTGATATCTGGGCAATCCATTCAACATCATGGTAATAACTATACTGCAACTATGATGCTGAAAGAAACCAAAGTTGATCGGTTATATGAAGACCTCCATCATCTTCTAGAAGTAACACTACGACAAAAAGTTATATTTATCGTAGGAGATTGAATGCTAAAGTAGGAAATCAGAAGATAATTGGGATAATGAGCAAGTTTGGCCTTGGAGTACAAAATGAAGCTGGGCAGAGACAAAAGAGTTTGTCAAAATAATTAGCTGGTCATAGCACTCTTTTTCAACAACCCAAAAGGTTGTGGATCTCACCAGCTAGTCAATATCAAAATCAGATTGGTATGTTTTATAGAGAACCTCTATATAGTGAGTTAAAACAAGACCTGGAGCTGACTGTGGCTCAGCTCATGAGCTTCTTATTTCAAAATTCATACTTAAATTGATGAAAGTGGGAAAAACCATCACATTCTATATATGTTACCTAAATAATATCCCTTATGATTTGGAAGCGACGAATAGATTTAGGGAATTAGATCTGGTAGATTGAGTGCCTGAAGATCTGTGGCTGGAGATTTGCAGTATTATTTAGGATATAGCAGCAAAAAAGATCCTAAATAAAAAGAGCAAGAAAGCAAAATGGCTGTCTGATGATGCTTTACAAATAGCTGAGGAAAGAAGAAAAGGGAAGGGGAAAGATAGAGCTAACTGAATGCAGAATTTCAGAGAACAGCAAGGAGAGATAAGGTTTGCTTAAATGAGCAATGCAAAGAAAAAGAAGAAAACAATAGAATGGGAAAGATAAGAGATCTCTTCAAGAAAGTCAGATATCCTATGGGAGCATTTCATGTAAAAATAGGCATGATAAAATACAAAAATTGTAGGTGCTTAACAGAAGTAGAATAGATAAAAAGAGGTATCAAGAATATACAGAACTTTACAAGAAAGATCTTAACATCAGTGATAACTACTATGGGGTGGTTACTGATCTAGAGCCAGGCATCCTGGAGAATGAAGTCAAATGGGACTTAGGAAGCATCACTAACAATAAGGCTAATGTTGGTGGTGGCATTCCAGCTGAGGTATTTAAAATCCTACAAGATGATGCTGTTTAAGTGCTGCATTCAGTATACCAGCAAGTTTGGAAAACTTTAACAGTGGCCACAGAATTGGAAAAGATCAATTTACATCCTAGTCATAAGGAAAGAATTCCAAGGAATGGTCAAATAAGCAAACAGTTGTGCTCATTTCACATGCCAGAATGATTATGCTTAAGCTTCTATGAGCTAGGCTTCTGTACTATTTAACTGAGAATTACCAGAAGAACAGGCTGGTTTTCAAAGAGGCAAAGGAACTAGAGACCAAATTATTAATGTTTGCTGGATTGTGGAGAAACCAAGAGAGTTCCAGAAAAACATCTACTTTTGTTTCATTGACTAAGCTAAAGCCTTTGTGTGGATCACAACAAAATGTGGCAAGTTCTCAAAGAAATGGGAGTACCAGATCACCTTGTTTGTCTCCTGAAGAACCTGTATGTGGTTCAAGAAGCAACAGAACCAGCCTGGAACAACTGATTGGTTAAAGATTGGAAAAGGAGTATGACAAGGCTGTGTATTGTCACCTTATTTATTTAACTTACAGAGTACATCATGCAAAATACCTGACTGAATGAATTAAAAGCCAGAATTAAGGTTGCTGGGAGAATTGATATTTCTCCCAGATATTTCTCCTAATCTCAGATATGCAGATGATACCACTGTGATGATAAAAAGTGAAAAGGGATCAAGAAGCCTGTTGCTGAAGTGAAAGAAGAGAATGTAAAAGCTGGCTTGAAACTTAACAAAAAAACTAAGATCATGGCAACTGGTCACATCACTTCCTGGCAAATAGAGGGAGAAGAAACAGAAACAGTGTCAGATTTTATATTCTTGGGCTTAAAGATAATTGCAGACAGCAGCTGCAGCCATGAAATTTAAAAAGCTTGTTCCTTGAAAGGAAAGCTACGGCAAATCTGAGCAGCATACTAAAAAGCAGAAACATTGCCTTCCTGACAAAGGTCTGTGTAGTCAAAGCCATGCCTTTTGCAGTAGTAATGCATGGCTGTGAGAGTTGGATTACCAGGAAAGATGAGTTCTGCAGAAATGATGCTTTTGAACTGTGGTGCTAGAGAACACTTTTGAGAGTCCCTTGGACGAGGAGATCAAATCTGTCAATACTTACAGAAATTAATTCAAACTATTCATTGGAAGACAAATACTGAAGCTGAAGCTCAAATACTTTGGCCACATAATGAGAAGACAGGGCTCATTGGAAAAGACCTTGACGTTGGGAAAGATTAAAGACAAAAGGAAAGGGGGACAGGAGAAGATGAGATGAATAGAGAGTGTCATGTAAGCAACAAACACAAGGTTGGACAAACTTTGACCAACAGTGGAGGATAGAAGGGCCTGGTGTATCATGAAGAGTCAGACATGACTGAACAACTGAATAATAACGTATTTCCAAATGTATTCCTTTTCTTTTTCTCTAGCAAAAAGGTATCCATCTAATAAAGAATAAAAAGGGAGGAAAGTTCCCCAAAACTAGCTAATGTATCATAGAAGTCATATTTCAGTGACCATTAGTGACCAAGTGCAACAGTGATCATATATGTACCAGAGGGTGTAGTTAGTCTGGTCTTATTACCTTTAAATCATGTAGTACGTAGGTGGGAGATGGTAGGATAGCAGGAAACAGTGCATTGAAGAGCTCCTGCAAAACTTCTCCAAACATATCTAGAAACCACACCAGACCAAATCCTGATGGGAAAATCCAAGAAAAAGAGTGAGTCATTTTTCCAGCCCAGTTTGGCAAAGCAAGACCAATAGAGAGGTTTGCAGATACTGAGGCAGGGATTGGTGCAGACCATTCCATACTTGAAAGCACACCAGTGTGCAAGAAGAAGCTATGAACTGGGACCAGAAGAGTCCCAGACGCGTATTGGGATATCCCCACACTCATGCCAGGGTGTCATGAGAGGGACGGATGTGAACTGGCAGCATTGTTGCCCACTATCCAGTTCCAGATCACAAATCCTGAGCAAATTGACAAGGAGACCTGTGCCCATACATGTGCATTCTTATCACTGCCCAACCTTCCTCCACTTGTGGTCTCCAGCCCTTGGTGGTATACTGAGAGAGGAGCAAGTGCTGAAGAAAGCAGCAGCAGCGTAGCTCAGCTCTCACGTGCAAAGAGTATCATTTCCAAACTCCATTCCAGTTTTAAGCCTGCAGAGGAATAACTAGGGCAGGAATCTGAGACCCAAGGGGAGCTTGTAGTTCTGTAAATGAACTTGCAGACCTTTCCAGCTGTCTGACAATGGCCAAGTTGAGCAACAAGCTACTGTTGTTCAATTTCAGACCCAGATGCAGAACTTATAGACCAAAGGGGCAGCAATTAGATTTTGCCCTGGATCAGACCACTATGGAATTACTGAAAGATTGCAGGTTCTAAGCTTGAGCTGTCCCAGAGATCCTAGAACAACACAACACTCAAGCCTCCAAAAAAAGCAACAACAGTACCAAAGCAGACCTTCACTACAGAAGTGCACAGATCATGACCCTAGCATTAAGTACAAAGTCAGGAAGTAGGCTATAAGAATGAGCAAGCAAAAGGGAAATCCCATTATAAAAAGTTATTATGACAGGGATGCTCAAGACACAAACCCAGAAGAAGGAAATAGTCTAGAACATCCACAAAGCTTTAAAAAACACAGTTTGGGTACAAACTCAACTAGAATTCCTGGAATAGATGAAGCAGTTAAAATTGTTATTGTCAATGAAATGTGAAAGTGTATGTTTATTATATTGATAAATGGAAATTAATGTGATATGAAAGATAAAGTCAATTCATAAATATGTATATATGTACACATTGATACATGTGAATATATAGGTACACATTTACGTGTGTGTGTGTGTGTGTGTGTGGAGTCCATCTCCAGTCATCCTGATCTATATCTTGCCATTGGCCCGAGATGGCTCCAGAGGAAAAAGTGAGGCTGGTGACTTTGCACAGCCCTCCCTCATTTAAATCCAATTCACTTTCAAGTTATGGCATCACCTTCCTGATGTCATAGTTCACAGCCCTGTTCGAGAACGATGGACAAACAATATATGTGTGTGTATACACTTATATATGTATAGACATATTTACAAATAGTTGGTGAGCTCCTACTGCATTCACATCAATCTCTTTAAATTACTCCCAATTTTCTTATCAGAATTATTTCTCTGTCTTCGGAGTTTCCTTCTTAATATCTTCCCATCCCTCCAGAGCTGACCCCTACTGAATTTTAGTCCATGAAATTCCAGCTATCCTTTTTCTGAACCTTTTTGAAATCTTCCTCTGTTCCCTGGGGTATGTGTTTGAATTCCTGGGTTTCTTCTCCTTTATCACAGTCTTGTAAGAAGGAGGAGCCACTATGTTCTCCCAGGGTTGCTATCATTTGTACTTCAACAACTAGTTCCTTAATGTAGTAAGAATTACATTTGGTTAAAATTTCCTCTCATTCATTCCACTACTTTTTGAATGATGAAATCATTATTTAGTCAAGTCAAATTATTACCTGTACTGTTTTTGGCACAAGAATTCCAGTAGATATCTGGGTAATTAAAATTTCCCCTTACTGCTAGAACCATGATTTTGATATGTTTCCTAAACTCATATATTTCTCTGTCCAGGTATAGCTTATCCTAGTGTCAGTATTGCTTCAAATTTTTGCTGATTTATCCATTTAATTTCTTGTTCAGTTTTCCTAACATCTAGCATTTGTGAAATGGCTAGCTGGAATTAAGATCCCTTTCAGCTTTTAATATTCTGTGATTCCTTGCATCATAAGCTGTCACACAGTGAAGCTAACATCGTATATAGAATTTGCCCTCATAACTTTAGAGTAATAAATATGGAGCTCCAGCTAAGTGAGCCAAACAGTGAATATTTCTTTTTCATTAATTACTTTTGCCTTGTCTGAGCTTATTATACCTCTCATTCAGAGAGCTTAACTACTTACATATATGTTCATACCATGAAAATGTGTTATTTTAGTGTACAGTGTAATTTTTTAGTATATCCATACCTTTTAAATTATATTTCTGAAAGACCTACTGTTATAATCCATTTCACAGATTAGGCTGATGCTCATTCAGTGCTATCTTGCACTAACATTTGTAATCAAGGGATGGGGTCTTTGGTTCTGGTTTTTTTCCATTGTATTTGTTAACATTATTTATAGAATGTATGATTTATTAGAGTTTGGATTTTACTCAATTTTGCAAACGTTTATGAATTTCTTCCTTTTCTGATTTCTCTATTTTATCTCTTAATCATAAAGCATTTATCGCATAGATGTTGATACTTTTAAAAATAACTGTAATTTTTCTTTTGTATTTTCCAGCTATCTCATGTAACTGCACTAAAATCAAAAGAGTTCTTAAATGGTATGTAGCGGCATTGAAAATTGGTTTATTTCAAATTAACATTTATATTTTATTTCCAGTTTGAATTAGTATATTCTTTTTATTTATTTATTTTTTGGTTAGGCAATGGGGTTAAGTGACTTGCCCAAGGTCATACAGCTAGTAAGTGTTAAGTGTCTGAGGCTAGCTTTGAACTCAGATCCTCCTGACTCCAGGGCCGGTGCTCTATCCACTACGCCACCTAGCTGCCCCCTGAATTAGTATATTCTAAAGTTGATTTTTAAAGATGGAATTTTGCATTCTTTATATATCAGTCAACATACTACTGGCAAGCCCAGGCATACATTTAATGAAGAACAAAGCTTAACTGTTTCATAGAATCATAGAATATTAAACTTTTGTAACACTGATATCTTCTGATTCTCCTGCTACCTATCTGATTGCTTCTTCTCAGTCTTCTTTTCTGGATCTTCATCCAGGTTATGCCTGTTAACCAAGGTTATCCCACAGGGTTATGTCTTAGGCCAGTGGTGGGGAACCTGCGGTCTTGAGGCCACCTGTGGCCCTCTAGGTCCTCAGGTATGGTCTTTTGTCTGAATCCAAACTTCACAGAACAAATCCCCTTATTAAAAGGATTTGTTTTGTAAAACCTGAACTCAGTTACAAGGCCATACCCAGGGACCTAGAAGGCCATGTGTGGCCTTGAGGCCTCAAGTTCCCCACCCCTGTCTTAGGCCCTCTTCTCTTCTCCTTCTGTACTACTTTCCTTGGAGATGTCATCAGCTCCCATGGATTCAGTTATCATTTCTATGCTGGTGATTCTCAGATCTTCTTATCCAACCCTAATCTCTTTGCTGACCTCCAGCCTTACATCTTCAACTGTCTGATGGATATCTCAAACTGAATATTTCATAGAGATCTTAAATTCAACATGACCAAAGCCAAACTCATCTCCCTGCTCCCACCTCCCTTCTGTTACTGTTGAGGATACTGCCATCTTCCCTGCTACCCAGGCTTAGAACATTGGTGTCACCCTTGATTTCTCACTCTCTTTCACCACCCTTCCCCATATCTAATTAGTTGCCACAGCCTGTCAGTTTTACCTTTGTAACATCTCTCATAAAAGACTTCTTCTGTCCTCTGACACTGCTATCAACCTGGAGCAGGCCTTTATCACTTCACACTTATAATATTGCTATAGCCTGCTGATTGGTCTGCCTGCTGCACGTCTCTCCTGACTGGATTTCTTCTACTCAGCTGTCAAAATTATCTTCCTAAAATGACAGTCTGACCACATCACCCCTACTCAGCAAACTCCAGTGGCTCCCTGGGACTTTCAGGATGGAATATAAAATCTTTGATTTGGCATCCAAAACCTTCATAGCCCTCCTCCCCAAGTACCTTTTTAATTTTCTTACACCTTACCCTTCCCTGTCCCACATTCTTTGATCCAGTGGCACCAGCCTCTTTGCTGTTCCTTAAACAAGCCATTTTATGTTCTGACTCCAGACATTTTTACTGGCAGTCCCTCAAGCCTGAAATACTCTCTCTCCATAACTCTACCTCCTGGCTTCTTGGCTTCCTCTAAGTCCCAGCAAAAATTGAACCTTCTGTAAAAGGCCTTTTCTCAATCTCCCTTTTTTCTAGTGCTTTCCCACTATTAATTATTTCCAGTTTATCCTGTGTATAGCTTGTTTGTACATGGCTGTTTACATGTTGTCTCCCCCATTAGGTTGTAGGTTCATCAAGAGCAGGGACTGTCTGTCTTTCTTCATATCCAAATAATTTGCATAATGCTTGACACTTAGTAGGTACTTATAAATGTTTATTGACTGATTCCACTTAAAAATATATTAAACTATTAAATTTCTTCTAAAATAGTTACAAAAGTTATGTCACAGAAAATACAGTCATTAAGTCACAATATTAGTCCTGGTGTAATGATCTTGTATATAAACTTCCTCATTTGATAGGTGAGGGTAGCTTAAGATTCAAGTGTCTTAGCTCTATTCCTAGCCCAAAGCTACATGGTTAGTGGTAAAGATGGGACTAGAATCCAGGTTTCCACACTCTCAGGGCCATATTCTTTTTTTATAACATTGTTCTGTGTCTTTATATACAATTGGATATTTATCAGGTATTAGAATCTATTTTTCATAAATGTTTTAGAAAATAAGGCCTAGGGTTGGTGGCTATATGTGGTTTTTAAAGAAGCTTGAGTAAATATACTTGTAAATGAAATGTATTGTGTTATCTTAAAGTATCTATAGAAAAAGGACTCAGATATGAGATTTTGTTTCTTATTCATTGATGGATTTATAAATTTAATTTTCAGCATCTTTAGCCACAGAAGAAAATTATGTCTCTGAAAATCAACCATTCCCTTCTCTCCAGATGGTAAGTACCTTGCAAAACTTATATTTATAAAATGAATAGCCTCACAATTTTTATGTTGAATAATTCTTTAGTTGATATAAAAATAACTGTTTTTACAATTTTATTTTAATTATTGTACTTTAAAATATATGCTTTTGATTCTATATTAATCATATTGAAGTACATAAATTTAAGTACTAAGCAAGTTCTTGAGGTAAGGGAGCTCAGACCACTGTAGCTACTTTAGAAATATTTGTTGAATTATTGTTAAAAATAGGTTGATTTGTTTTTTAAATGTGCCATTTAGTAACTGAGAAGAAGAAGACTTAATGTTCAGCAGAAATCTGTATTCTCTCTGCACATGATTCACAGATCTGTTTATCTAGACGAAGTCCTCATTATGACCCCACCAACTACTACCTTTTGGATACCTCAAACTGGATATCCCATAGGCATCTCAAACTCAACATGTCCAAAACAAAATTTATTATTATTATCCATTAGACTGTGGGCTTCTTGCCAGGGACTGTCTTTTGCTTTTCTTTGTATGCCTAGTGCTTACACGGTGCCAGCACATAGCAAGTGCTTAATAAGTGTTTACTGACTGACCAATAAGTATTTATTGATTTTTCCCCTAAACCCTCCCCTCTTCCCCAACTTTCTGTTACTGCCAAGGGCGCCACCATCCTCCCAGTCACCCAGGCTTGAAATTTTGGTGCTACCCTTGATTCCTTACTCTCACTCAATACATATAACTAATGTGTTGCCAGAACTTGTCTTTTCTATATTCACAATAGACCTGCTATATGTTTCCTATTCCACTCAGCCATTCTCCTAGTTCAGGCCCTCATCACTTCTTGCTTCTGATTAATCTCCTTGACTCATTTTCCTCCTCAATTTGGTCTATCCTCCACTTAGCTGCCAAAGTGATTTTTCAAAAACATAAGTTGGACCACAGGAAACCTTATAGCCTCCCAATCAGTAAACTTGAAGTTCCTATGACCTTCAGGATCAAATATAAATTCCTCTCTTTAACATTTAAAGCTCTTCATAACCTGGACCCTTTTTAACTTTCCAAGTTTCTCATACTTTACTTCCCTACATGCACTCTACAACCCAATTTCATTGATTTGATGTTCTTTGCGCACAATACTCCATCATCTGTTGCTATGCTTTTTATACTGGCTATCTCCCATTTCTTTAATGCTCTCATTCCTCACTTCTGACTTTTAGTTTCCCTAGCTTCTTTCAAGGCTCAGCTCAGGAGGCATTTCTTAGTTCCTTTCAGGTACCTAGTATTTCCCTCCATGTACTCTGGAATAATATTGTTTGTATCTTGTTATTTGCATGTCATCTACCCCATTAGATTGAATTTCTTCAAGGCAGAGACTTTTTTGCTTTTCTTTGTAAAGACCTACACTTATCACACTATATAGCATAGAGTAAGTGCTTAATAAATGATTTTTGACTGGATCTGTTTCAAACAAAGACCATTACTTAGGAATTGTAATTCCTATATCTCTTGATTAATTTTTGAGTTATCTTTATATACACACACACACATCCTTATATGGATCAAATGAGATAGCATGCAAAATGCTTTGAACAACTCTAATCTCTCTTCAGCATGACAACCCTTCAATTATTTAGCTATTTTATCAACTCAGATCTTCTCTTCTTAGGGTAAACATCCCCATTTTAGTCAATGTAGCCTCATATGGCATGTTTCCAAGGTTCTTTGTTCCTGGTTGCCCATTACAGAAAATATATATGAGTACTGGTTTTCTATTTTGAAAACTAACAAATTTAGTTAGCAAATTCTATTTAATTTTTATTCTCCCTTTCTATACAAAATGTATGCATATACATGTATGTGTATATGTATATACATATACATACATACGTACAATCAAATAAACTTGGAATCTTGAGTGTTAACAATGGTAAGGCCAAGGTTTTGGTTTTTGCTTTTTTGTTATTGAAAAATTTTTTTTGTTGTGGTAATAATAAAGGGCAGTTGCTGGGTAAATGAAGTGAATTGGCAGTAAGGCTCAGGAGTTGGCATAGAAGGGTATAATTGGATTAGTGGGTACAATATTCCTGAGTTATTAGAGGGAAATACAAGGCAGGTATGAATAGTTGTGGGTTTTGGTAACTAAGGTCAGTATAGTTAAATGATAACAAAAATGGTGGTGAATATTTTTTTTTTTGGTGGAGATTGCTGCTGATTTTCTTAAGTGGCCTTGATGCCACTTTTAAAATCTTTTTGCTTAATTCAGTTTACTACAGCAAATATATTAAGTACCTGTTAAGTGCAAGGTATTGTGCTAGATGCTCATGATAACAACAATAATAGCCAGGATTTATGTAATGCTTTAAGGGTTTTGACGTGTCTTGCATGAACTAGTCCCCACTCTAAGAGCTTACAGTCAGCGGGGAGATGTAGCAGAGGCGTCTGGGTGGCACAGTGGGTAGAATGGATTAGAACACTGGGCCTTGAGTCAGGAAGCCCTTATTTCAAATCCAGCCTCAGACACTTACTATCTGTATGATCCTGGGCAAGTCACTTAAACTTCTGTTTGCCTCAGTTTTAAAAATAAGAATAATAGTAGCATCTATACCTCCCAGAGTTGTTGTGAGCCTCAGATTGGGTAATATTTGTGAAGTGCTTAGCATAGTGCCTGGCACATACATACTAGGTGTTTAATAAATGTTTATTCCTCCTCCCACCCCTTTTCCTCTTTCCCTAACATACATGAGTTAAATATATACAAAATAATTTCAAGAGGGAGAGTTAACTAACATCTGGGATGGTAGGAAGGAATCACATTAAAAAGAAGTTGTACCTGAGGTGCATTTTAAAGGAAGCTAAGATTCTAAGAGGTAGAGGTGAATAGGGAACATAAAGTTCTGCATAAAAATCCGTGCTCCTCTGTTGAGACGTAAGAGAAAGGAGGTGGCATAGAAAGTATGAGTAAAATGAATAGGTGCTGTGGAGAATATGCTGGACAGTCAATTAAGGAGAACTCAAAGAAGTGCCTGATAGCAGTAAGGGCTATTGATGTTATAGTATGAATTTGTGATTTACCTGCTGAGCAAAGTTATGACTTTCCTCATTAGCACTTAGTAGCTTCTGAGTGGGAACAGAGAAGGTTGAATGGGTGTTAAGAATAACTCAGGATTTGAATTGGTTTAGCAGTGACTGGTGATTGGGTAAGGGTGCAAGGGTTTATAGGTCCATGCTAGCCAGAATAATTGATCTGTTACCAGTTAGTCCATTAGGCAGCTAAGTGGCACATTGGTAGAGAATGAAACCTGGAGTCAGGAAGATCCGAGTTCAAAACCAGCCTTAGACACCGATAAACTGTGTGACAGTAGTCACGTCACTTAACCTCTCTCTTCTTCAGTTTCATCATCTGTACGATGGAAATCATTGTACCTACACCCTAGTATTGTTGTGAGGATAAATGAGTTATTTATAAAGCTCTTTGCAAACCTTAAAGGCCTGTGTTAACGTTTGCTATAATTATATAAACCCAGTAAAAATTGTACTTGCTGAAGCACAAAACTTAAAATAATGCTTTATATTTCTTTCTATTCTTTCTTACAGGTTGCTTTTAATAATAATTGTTTTCCTCTTTTTCCTTTATCCTATACTCCCTTTTTTAAAAAAAATCCTTTTAGGTTTTAGAGGCTTTGCCAGAGGATGTTGGATTTAACATTGAAATAAAATGGATTTGCCAACAAAGGGTAAGTAATTTCATACCTTGTGTAGTCTTTTGCTTATATTTGTAAAATTTTAATTACTAATTGTATAAATGGAGTTAAAATTTTATTTTAGCATACATAAAATTTATTGAACCTTTTTATCATATTGTTATGATACCTACTATCATGTCATATATTGTTATATATATTATCATGTTGTTATATTATCATATTGTTATATTGTGAACCTTTTATCGTATTGTTATATTAATAACTGTACTTAACACATGGCAAATTTACTTTCCATTGTAGCATAATATGATATTAGTGTTAATATCAGGGATGGCCCTAAACAAGATTTATGTTCAGTTTTCCTCCAGTTCTTTCACTGTAGTTTGACCAAAGCCTGATAACACCTTATCTGTTAAACCCTGCTTTACTTCTAATCAAAATTTGCCTTTCATATTTTAAAGAGACTTGCTCTTTATAATAAGTTGCAGAGCTTGGCAATGAATTAATCACTAACAGAAAATTAATTCACTCTCATATTACAAAATACCTTTATTCACTTAAGTGAATGGAAGATCAGATATCATGATATCCAAAGAGATAGATAAACAGGGAGACATTTTGCTCAGTGTAGCCACTTGGCAATCCTCAAACATCAGTTGGTTATTTGATCTACTGTGCATATAGGGTTGAAAATGTTTATCTTAACTCAGTATTTCTAGAGTTAATGATTTTTCAGGCTTTTTTTATGTGGGCGTACCCTTTTAAAAGATGATACATTTTCAGCACAATTCAATACACCCTAGGTTCCTGAAAATGTTTTCATATTTCAGATTATTTTAGATAACATTATGTGAGTACTTGGTATGTATTAGAGTAAAAATGAGTTAAATATCAAATTATATCTAAAGTGAGTATTTTGTATAAATGGGTAGAAATGATCAGAGACATTCTGTGTTGTTAAATTTTTTTTAACTTAGCCTTTAAAAAATATAGCTTGTCATTTTAAAAAATAATTACAGGTTTTTGTTTAAAATGATTTTATGTAATATTTTTAAGTGAAAATGACTGAACTGTTAGGAAATATGAATTGTTCTAATTCAGCATACTTTTTTCATCTAGGATGGAATATGGGATGGCAACTTGTCAGCATTTTTTGACATGAACCTGTTCTTGGATATAGTTTTAAAGACTGTTTTAGAAAAGTCTGGAAATAGAAGAATTATATTTTCTTCATTTGATGCAGATATCTGCACAATGTGAGTAACATAATTCTTACATCATAATTTTAATCATAGTTTGTTTTGAGGAGGAAGCTGAACACCTTTGTATCTGGTCTTCCTTCTCTTCCTCCATGTTACCACAGTTCTTTTTGCTTTGGGGAAACAAACACAAATAGAAACAAGTGAAAGAGAGGAGGAATGGAGAATGAGTAAGTGGAATTAAAATCACCAGAAAAAGACAGTGTAGTTCTTTTTATTTCTTAACCTCCATATCAGTAATGATCCAAATAAAAGCCATATTTACCACCTATGTTTCCGTCTTCTTCACCCACCCCCCGAAAAATATCTAGCTTGAACAAAACCTGAATGTTACCTACTAGTAGTACCATTTTTCATATATACCTAAATATACTCCCTTTTAAAAGAGATTTCATTTTGGGAATGTGGCTACAGTGGGAGTAATGGATTAGAATGTCTAAAGATCACAGTGAGGAAAAGAGTAGGTTTAGGAAGAGTGAGGTGAGGAGAAGGAGACATATAAGACAGAATATTAGGATCAGAGGAGCATTTCAGCATTCAAGAATGTGGAAGTGGTAGTTAGTGATGGTGAGATCTAAGGTATGATTCAGGGGTGGCTGAGGTTGAATAAAGATATATTCCTGACGTCAGAATCTTCAAGGGGACATTAGTATGTATATTGAAGACTTCAAGTATGAGGACAAGGGTAGGGGTAGAGAGGAAGACTGTGAACCATTTATTAAACTGCGTAATAAAGGAAAGAGAAGTGATTCTCAGACTCGTTGATCACTTGAGCAAAGATTTGGATAGGATGATGTAGGTGGATTGGGTTATGTTATGTAGAAATCAATTAAAGGCAACAAGTGCTTTTGAAATACTGAATGAAGTCAGTCTCAAATTCTGAAATTTTCCCTTGTGATCATATTTTTCCTTATTTTCTCTATTCCATACCTAGACATGTTCACCTGTTTTTTCTTGCTTTGTTACAATCTCTGAGAAAAAGGTAGCCGTTCCTATAAAGACCCACCCCTCAGTTTGTATCCCTGATGTCATCTTCTCTAGCCTCCTGCTGGAGCTTGCTCTACTGATTTAGTCCTTTTATTTAATCCATTGCATTATCTCAAGTGATCAGTGTATCTTTTCACAACTAACTTGCTAGAGAGTCTTCTTTTCTCCCTTCTTTAAGCTGCCTACCACCTACTCATTTTTCATTGATTTCTGGGAATTACTCTTTCCAAGAAATATCTTAACTTCCAGATACTTTCTCTGCCTTCTAACCCTTATCTCCCTGCAGCTTTAGATCACTTTTTTGCAGGAACCTTCATTAGTTACTCATCATTCCCAACAAATTGTATCCTCTAAGATTCTGCTCTGGGGTACTCTTATCTTCCTTTTCTCTTAGTGATTTAACAAGTTCCATTGGTTCAGTTGTCATTTCTGTGTAGTCAGTCCTAAATATAATTATCCCCTATTAATTTCTTTGAATTCTATCTCTGCATTACCAGTTGCTTGCTAGCTAGTTACAGACTATTCCATTTGCATTTCAAATTTGCCATGTCCAAAATGAAACTAATCACCTTTTCCCCTAAATCCCACCTCTTCCCAAAACTATTTTTGGTGAAGATCTTTAGCCATGTAGATTCATATCTTCCTAGTCATCCTTAATACTTCTGTGTCATACACTTCACATACCCAGTTAGAGAATTTCAGAGTTGGATAGGACCTCAGTGGCCATTAAGTACAAACATACCTAACCAACCAAACAACAGTCATTAAGTATTTACTTTGTACTAGGAACTATGCAAAGTGCTGGGGATACAAATAGAGGCAAAAAAATTTTTATTCTCTCAAAAATTTGTCTATATATCCCTGACAAATAGTACTCTAGGCTTTGATGAAAAGCCTACAGTGAAGAATTTGCTACCTTACATGAGGCAAACCATTTCATTTTTCAATAGATCTAATTGTCAAAATGTTTTTCCTTATACCAAGCCTAAAGTGCCTACTTTTTGCATCTTTCACCTGTTGCTCCTACTTCTTTCCTTTCAGTCTAAACAGAGTAAGTCTTCATTCCTTTTCTGTGTGCCAGCTTGAAATACTAAAAGATAATAATCATGTCTTTTCTAAATCTTCTCTATGCTACAGTTCCTATTTTCTTCATCTCATCTACATTTCCATCATCTAACCTGATCAATATATGGATCTCAAGGTTCTTCACAAGTTTTAGTTGCCCTTCTAGATACTCTCTGGCTTACTGATGTCCAAATGAAAATGTACTCCACATATGGTCTGACCTGCGGAGAATGTAGCAGTTCTTATGCCTCCCTAGTCCTAGAAACTTTCCCTTTCTTAATGTAGCCTAACATTACATTAACTTTCTCAATCACCATATCGTACTGTTGTCTCATTGAACTTATGATTCACTGAAATCTCCTCACATATGTGTGCATAGAGCATGGGGAAGGAAAAGGGCCAGTATATGAGCTATAAATGTGCTGGCATACTCCACTTGTTCTCTGCACTTGCCTATACCCTCTAATCTGTTTCAGGCAAGTGTATATAACCACATCTCTCCTATCTTGTACTTGTGAAGTTAATTTTTTTTAACATAATTTAATTCAACAAACATTTGGGATATGAAAAGAAAAAATACCAAACTTCCTGCACTCAAGAAAGAAATAGTCTGTAGGGGAAAGGAAGAACAACAGGAAGGCCAAGACAGAGCCGCTGCATAAAGGTTGACACATGGATTACAGATCAACAAATTGGACCAGAACAATGTCTAGATAACCCAGAGGGGAGGGCATCAAGGAAGAGGGGGGTTATTAATAATGTCAAATGGTACAGAAAGACCATGAAGGATGAGACTTAAAAAAGGTCATCATATTTAAGCAGTGACGATATCACTGGTAACTCTGGAGAGGACAGTTTTAGTCAAGTAGTGTAGTCAGAAACTGGAATGGAAGGAATGGATAAAAAATTGAGTCACAGAGTATAGGTAGTATTTTTTAGGTACTGGTGGGGGGTGGAATGTGAAACATACATTTATCCCTATTAAACTTCCATCTTAGTTTCTTAAGCCTAGTATTTGAGCCATTCAAAATCTTTTTGAATCCAGTTATACAGAATGTTTACTATCCCTCCCTCATCTGTAGATTTGGAAAGTATTCCATCCATGTATTAATCTAAGTTATTAAATAAAATGTGAAATAACAAGGAGTCAAACACAGATCTCTGAGGCCCCCTGCTGGAGACCTTGCAAGTTACTGTTAAATCATTGATGATTCCCCTTTGGTTTGACCATTCAACCAGTTCAGAATTAACCAATCACCAAACATTAAATACCTGCTATCTGTCAAGCACAGTACTAATTTCTGACCTTAAACAGCTTACATTCTATTAGTGGAAGCAACTTGCACATATATTAGCATGTACAAAATAAATACAAAGACATTCCTGGGAAGGGGCAGGTACTAGGAAATTGGGAAAATTAGGAAGGTCTTCATGTGGGAAAGGCTTCAGCACTTGAGCTGATCTTTGAAGGGATCCTAAGAAGCAGAGGTTAGAAGGGAATGCATCTTAGGCATGGAGGGATGTAGCCAATGGAAAGACATGGAAATGGGAGAGAGTGTTTTATGTGAAGAACAGCAAGAAAGCCAGTCTGAATGGGCTGTAGATTATAGGAAGTGGAATAATGTCTAAAGTTGGAAAGAAAGATTGGATCTAGACTGTGAAGGACTTTAAAAGCCAAACAGAGGAGTTTATATTTGATCCTAAAGACAATAGGGAGCCCTTGGAGTTTACTGAGTAGGACAGTGTCATGGTAAGATTTATAACCTAGGAAAATCGTTTTTACAGTTGTATGGTGAAGAAATTGTATTAGAGACTTGAAGTAGGGAAGCCATGTAGTAGGCTACTGCAATATTCCAGGAGAGAGGTAATGAGGGCTTGAGCTGGACTTGTGGCCATATGAGTAGATAGAAAGGGACTCGTGTGAAAGATCTGGAGGGAGAAATAGTTTGGCAATTGATTTGTTACATGGAGTGAGGTGTACAGTAAGTTGTTGAAGGTAATGCCCATGTTGAGGACTTTAGTGACAGGAAGGATAGTCAAGTCCTCAATAGAAATAGGGAATCCTATCCTATTAATTGTACTATTATTTAGCCAATGTTTCATCTTTTTTTAATAGGAATAACTAAAGACTTTTTCAAATGGTTTGCTGAAATCTAAGTGAACTGTAACTATAGTATTTTATATCATTATAGTAATTCTTAAAAAGACATGAGGCTAATTGTGAAGAAGAGGCTTTTCTTCATGTTGGGTCTTTTAAATATGCACTTCCCTTTCTACATGTTGATATGGATGTTTGTCTTAGTGATGTTTCTTAGTATGCATTAGCTTTATATGTAAGTCTGAGTGCTAGTATTTTGAGCCTTCCATCTCCTGCTGGGCACAGTGTGTCCTCTGAGAAAAAGCTGCAAAAGGCCAGGCCTGGAGTCTTCTATCTGCACCAAAGCAATGACTTCTATCTGTGCCAGCACAAGGCAACTTCCATGTTCTGCTATCAACCTCATCTCCCAACTGGGATGTGGAGAACCCTCCAGTGCAAAGAAGAACAACCTTCCCTTTGACTTCAAACCTCCCATGTCCTGTTGCATCTTTCCCTTAGAGGATAGAGGAGTGACGTCCTCCTCTCAATGATGAACGTTTCCATACCTGGTCATAACCCTTCATATCCCAGTGACTCTGAACTCCTGAAGATTAACATCCAAAATCCCATTATACACCCCCTGCCACCCAATGCTTCATTCCTATCCCCCTCAATTTTTGTACCTCGAAGTTTCTAATTTCACTTAGTTTTTCACTGTGCCCTCTGAAATACCTCTTTCATAGGCAACAAACTTCCTTCTTAAGTTTTTTCTTCTCCCACTTCTTACATCTACTAGCTGTTACTGAAACCTGGCACCCTTCAGATGACACAGCCTCCCTGGCAACCCTTTCCATGGTAGCTGCACCTTCATTCATTCTCTTCAGCTCACTGATCAAGGCAGGGGAGAGCGAATACTTAGACTCCCTATTTCTTCCAAGTTTTCCCCTCTACCTCCATCATTTTAGTAGTCCTCTTCCTTTGGAGTTCATGTTATTCATATTTACCATGCAATCGAAGTCTTAGTATCTATTGTTTACTTATCTGTTGTTTACAACCCCTCAGTTCACCCACTTTCCTTCCTCATTGAGTTTGGTACATGGCTCACAATTTTTCTTTCCTCCTCAACTTCTCCCAAGTTTTAGGAGGCTTAAACATACATATTAACTCTCCTTCAAACACTCTAACCACTCAGTTCCTCAACCTATTCACTTTCCATGAGCTATTCCTGCACTCCATTTTAGTGACACATATAACACAAAGATGGTCATACCCTTGATCTCGCCATCATCCACAGAGTTACCACCTCCATGTTCCAGATTGAAATTCCCTTTTGTTTTTCAGTTGTTTCACTCACATCCAAATTTTCATGACTCCATTTGGGCTTTTCTTGGCAAAGATGTTGGAATGATTTGCCATTTCCTTCTCTAGCTCATTTTACAGATGAGAAGACTGAGGCAGACAGGATTAAATGACTTGCTCAGGTTCCTACAGCTAGTAAGGGGCAAATTTGAACTCAGGAACATAAGTCTTTTTGATTTCAAGCTTGGTGCTCTATCTACTATGTCACCTAGATAGCCCCAGATCCCATTATTTGACCATAATCTATTGGCTTTTCACCTATCTTCATCTACACCATAATTTCCAATCGCTTGACCCCTCAGTTTTCTCCTAGACCATCTCTTCTGTACTAGCCACTCTCTTCTCTTCTCTTAATCTTAACCCCTTAGTGAACCAATTCACTTCTACACTCTCATCTTCTCTTGAATCTCTAACCCTCTTATCATATCATAGATTATACCCAGCCAAGCCCCAGCCCACTCCCACTATTCACTGCTTTTGCTCCCACACACATGATGCTGAATAAAAATGGAGAAAATCATGCAACCATTCTGATTGGGTCCACTACAGATGTATGTAATATAGTGTCAACTGGGCCCTCACTATTGCTAGGCAATTGTACCATACCTCCCTTATCAGCTCACTATCCCACTTTTCACAATGGCTCTTCTAAACTTCATCCCTCCTCAAAATTTCCATGACTCCTCCATTACCTACCTTCTCATCTGAGATCCTTCTCTCATGTTTTCTTTAAAAAAAAAAAAAAAAGGCATTCTCTTTAAGCTCCCCTTCTCCCTTCTTCCTCATCTCCTACCACTCAAGTGTCTCCTTCCACTGTCTCCTCCTTCACCCGTGTCTCACATGATGTATTGACCTTACTCTTACCAAGGCTAACCTTTCTACTTATTCAAGTGGTTCCATTCTGTCCTGTCTCCTCTAATAGATTGCCCCCTCTGTTAGCCCCACTTTTTCACTTATTTTCAGACTTTCCTTGTCCACTGGCTCACTTTTTACAGCCTACAAATATGCCCATGTCACACCTATCTTGAAAAAACCCTCACCTGGTCTGTCCAGCCCCACTTACTAACCTATTTCTCTTCTGCCCTTTGAAGCTAATCTCAAGAAGGCCATCTATAATAGGTGCCTTCACTCTTTCCTCACTCTTAACCCCTTATCATCTTTAAATTTTATCATTTCCCTGAAACCACTCTCTCTGAAGTTAATAATGATTTATTAGTTTCCAAAACCGTACCTTTTCTCACTCCTTATTCTCCTTGACCACTCTACAGCCTTTGACACTGTTGATCACTCCCTCCTTCTTGATGCTCTTTTCTCATGGTGATCTTCTCCTTGATACTTTCTTTTCTCTAGGTTTATGGGATACCACTCCCTGATTCTTCTTTGACCTATCTAATCATTCATTTTATGTCTCCTTTGCCAGATTCTCATTCAGATCACACCCTCTAACCAGAAGTGTTCTTTTGGGTTCTCTCCTGGGTCCTCTGCTCTTCTCCCTCTGTACTACTTCATTTGGTGATCTCATCAGCTTCCATAGATTTAATTACCTTCTCTATGCTGATGATTCTCAAATCTGCCTATCCTGCTTCAATCTCTTGCTGACCTCCATTCTCACACCAACTGCCTTTCAGACACCTTGAACTGGATGTCCAGTAGACATTTTAAACTCAAGCCATAATATCCCACCTTTCCACCTCCTGTCATTGTAGAGGGCAACACCGCCTTCCCAGTTCCTCAGGCTTGCAACCTTGAAGTCATCCTTGATTACTCCCTATCTCTTACTCCCCATATCCAAGCTGTTGCCACGGCCAGTGATTTTACCTTTACGATGTAAGTCTGACCATATCACCATCCCCTGTTGCATTCCCCCCCCCCCAAAAAAACCCCCAAAACTCCAGTGTCTGGTTCCTTATTGTCTCCAAGATCAAGTACAAAATATTCAGCTTATTAAAGCCCTTCTAAACCTAGTCCATTCCTACTTTTCTAGTCTTCTTATATTTTACTCCCCAACTTGTACTCTTCAATCTAATGACACTGATCTCCTGGCTGTTCCAAAAACAAGACATTCTATCTCTCAGGTCTGGGCATTTTCTCTGACTGTTTCCCTTGCCTGGAACACTCTAGTCTCTCCTGTGTTCGTGACTGCTGAACTGCCTGACTTCCTTTATGTCCCAATGAAAATTTCACCTTCTACAGGAAGCCTTCCTCAACCCCTCTTCATTGTAGGGTCTTCCCTCTGTTAATTATTTTCTGTTCTGTATATAACTTGCTTTATATATATTGGTTTGCATGCTGTCTCCCCTGTTAGATTATAAGCTCCTTGAGAACTTTTGTCTTTTGCCTCTTTTTGTGTTCCCAGAATGTAGCATAGTGCCTTGTATATACTAGGTGCTTAACAAATGTTTATTGATTGATTATGTGCCTTCTTGACCATGCCCTTCCCCATATATCCACAAGCAGTCCACTCAGTAGGCTAGAAAGCTTCCTCAGTTCTTGATGTTAAGTGGATACCATGATCAAAAATTTGGAGACAGTGGTGTAGTGGATTAATTGGAGAATAGAATGACTAAAAGCAAGGTGATCAAATTAATAGACTATTAAAATAGTCCAGGCAAGAGAGAGGAGACGAAGGCTATATATTAATGTATGAGTAGAAAGAGGAACAGGTGCAAAAGATGTTGTCTTGCAGTTTGAAGATATTGTCATGTACCCTTCTTGTTTTCTTACTTTCCAATCAAGATACCTTAATACTTGATAAATATTAAATATCTGTTACAGGATTCGACACAAGCAAAACAAATATCCTGTTTTGTTTTTAACTCAAGGAAAATCTAATGCTTATCCTGAACTCATGGATCTAAGATCTAGGACAACTTCCATTGCAATGAGTTTTGCACAGTTTGAAAATTTGCTGGTAAGTTATGGTTCATTTTTAGGAGGGCTGAAAGAGAAAAAAACCTAAGTTAAAATAATCCCAATTTCATTTAACTCTGACTGGAAAGTAGTAGAATGAGTATAATTGGGATTTGTATTATACAATTCAAGTAGAGAAAATTACTCATGAAGATTTAAAGTGTAATGGATGGCTATATTTAATATTTCCTATTGTTAACCAGGTATTTTCTTTCTAGGGGATCAATGCACATAGTGAAGACCTCCTTAGGAATCCATCATATGTCGAGGAAGCAAAGTCTAAGGGTTTAATAATATTCTGTTGGGGTGAAGATACCAATGATCCTGAAAACAGAAGGAAGCTGAGAGAATTAGGTGTTCATGGCCTAATCTATGACAGGTATTATGTGTTTTGTGAAAAAATTTCCCTGTAACTTAGTAATAGTTTTACAAATAAAAGTATGTTAAAAAGTACAGTTAAATATATTTTATTCTGAGATATATTAAATATCTTTTGTGGTCATTGTACCATAACTAGAATAAAATATTCTACCTATGAAGAGAGTTGTCTAATCAAATGAAGATTAAATATGAATTGGGGAGTATATTACTTAACTTGTTTTTATATTTACTATGTATATACGCACATATACATACACATGTGTGTATATATATACATACACATATATTCATACATATATACATACACACAAACGTGTGTGTGTGTGTGTGTGTGTATGAATGAATGAATTTAGATTCTACCGATTTGAAAATCCAGAACTGTTTCCAGTATTTCAGTCAATGCAGGATAATGGAAATTAAGAGAGGAAAAAGTTTAATAAACTAGTAGAAAGTCAGCAGTGTCATATTTGATATGCTACTTGAAGAAGAATACTTGAGAAGAATAAAGAAGGCTTCTTGAGAAGAATAAAGTTGTTGGTAACTTTAAAAAAGCTTTTGCAGAGTATACCTGCTATTTTCAAAAACTGCTTCTCCCCTCAGGTCATATAACTTTTAAGTTTTTTAACATAACTTTCATGAAGTTTATTAAAAATTGACAAACATTGGTAAAGTTTAGAATTTCAGTTACAGTATAGAGTTTAAGCTATTCTTTGACTAGTTGTTACTGAGTATATTTTAATTTGAATTTAATAAAGGGACCATAAGTGTCCTAAATTTTTAGAATTATAGACATATTTTTTCTTCAAGAAAATGTATTTTTAAATTTTTGGAAATAGTTTATCTACAATTGAGTTTTACTAAAAGTTGTTAAATCTTGCAAATTCTGTGCAAATCATGAAATCATAATGGTTTTATTTGTGTTTGTTTTTTACCTTCATAGGATATATGATTCGATGCCTGAACAGCCAAATATATTCCAGGTAGAGCAGCTGGAGCGTCTAAAGAAAGAATTACCAGAGCTCAAGAGTTGCTCATGCCCCACTGTTAGCCATTTTGCCTATACACCGCATGTGTGTATGTAGGTCACACAAGTCTGCCAAATAGTATAGCTAACTTAAAGAATGCTTAATCCTTTATTGCACAGAGGCCTTTTAGGGTCATATACTGCTACTTGGGATATGTAGTTTTCATCATTCAGCACTGCTTATGCCTTTTGGTTTTCTCAGTCCAAATGAAGCAATAATTAAGTATTCTACTATTCCACTACAGTTCTTGCTAGAATTTCAAATATTCTTGGCCAGGTATAATTAGTAAAGAGTCTCTACCTATAAGAAAAAAAAAATTGAATGGCTGGTAAACCTCAGAAAACAAGATTCAAATTTTAAGCATTTTTAAATTAAAAGAGTAGTAGCACTTTAGAATCTGTAAAGATAACATATAGTATTGACATACTTGGTAAACTTTTCATTTGATGAGATCTAAAATCATTAGCACTGGAGGAAAATGACTATGCATAATTATACCTGACCATGGAAAAAATAAGTACCTCAAATGCATGCATTTGCACTGGTGGTTCCAACTATACAAATATTTGTGCCATCTGTGTATGTTTCTTATGTGGACTGTCATGCACATAAACCGTTTTTGTTCAGTATGAACCTTGAGGCTGCTGCCATTTTCCCACTCAGCCAGATATATGCCTGTGTAAAAAGCCTTGGGGTAAAAAAGTGAATTTGTATAACATCTCCAAAAGTTGTTTTGCATTAACTTGTCAAATTTTAAATGCAGCAGATAATATAATATCTAAAATATGAATGAGTCATTGAAGACATTTCTGCAGCTTTAAAAAATTGCGCATATCTTAAGTGAAACAGATCACATGATGTATAAATTCTACTGAATGCATGCTTCAGGTTTTAAGCATGAAATTATACATGTTTACCATAAGTCCTTGCATCCTGTGGTGCTAGGTAAGTGTGAGAAGGTGATAAGGACTAAAATAAAAATTTTTTGTTGCTGAAAAATAAGCCTATTTGTAGGCAATTTAAATTTTGCTTACTATTTAAAGTGTGTCTTACTACTACAAACAGTTCTTGCTTTATGTGAGTTTGTATTACTCAAATTCAGCTGCCAGTCGGTGAGGCTCAGGAGCTTCAGACAGCAGCAGGGGCAGTGGGTGGGTGGTATCAGTAGCTACCTAGCCCAGGGCAGGGGTCCTCTGTTCTGGGCACTGAAGCCAATCAGGATGCAGGGCCCCAGGCACTGGGCCATGTGGAGCCCCTCCAAGGGGAGGGGAAGTCTGTTGGAATGGTCCACTTATGTCAGTCGAGAACTACCTATTACATGGCATCAGCTACTGGGGTGTGTGTGCGTGTGTATGTGCGCGCATGCATATGTGTGTGTGTGTGTGTGTGTGTGTGTGTGTGTTAGAAGTTGTCTCCAAATGAAATAATAAATGTCCTGAAATCTCAGCTCTGTATTAATTGGTTAATATAAATCATGTGTATAATTTATTCATAAATGTCATGTATAAGCTCTTGCTAAATATGTATGCATGTTCTTAGATTGATACTTCTAAGGTTTTTTCATTGGTAGGACATTGTTAAGACACAACTGTAACTTATGAATCAAGTGTTACTATATTATAAATGACAGATTTGTTTTATTTCATTATAAAATATTTCAAGAAGATGTTGTTTTCATAGATTCTGTTTCATGGAACTTCTATGAAAGCAAGTTGATAATCTGAGTGTCAGTCTCTGAAAGACATGACTTACATTGCACCTAGTTATTTTCTCTGTATTATTTGGTGTCCAGGGTTTATTCAGTCGTCAGCATATATTAACTACAATTGAGATTCAGTTAAAATTCCGGAAAAAAAAAAACCTAAAACCAAGTCACGAAAGACAACTTGTTTTCATTTTAAAACCTAAACATCCTATTATTTTCATTTATTAGCACTTTATGATTGGAAGTACTTTAGACAATTCAGTTTTCTGTAAAGGGATGGTACTAGGTAGGATTTTAAAGTTAACTTGTACTTAGGGAAAATTTTAGTCAGGAAAAAATTACATGTTTTTTAATGTAACATACAATTACCATACCATAATTAAGCTCAGGTTTGTGGGTGGATGGATGCTTTTACTATCTTCCAGGCATGCAAAGAAATTCCAAAACATGGTCTTTGTCCTCAAGGTGCTCACATTCTGATTGGGGAAGACAGCATACAAATAACTATGAACATTGAACATATTTTCGGTGTCAATGAAAGGTAGTAGCTGTGAAGACCAGCTTCAAAGACTTCCTTAAAAAGGTGAAATTTGAGTCCTGAAGGAATCCAGGAGGATTCCACATTTTAGGCATGGAAGACAGCCTGTGAGGAGACATGGAATAAGGCAATGGAATGGTGTTTTGAGAGGAACAGCAAGAAAGCCAGGGTAGTTGACTCAGAGTATGTGGAGGAAGAGAATAAGCATTTATATAGCACAAATTCATCTCACTTGATACAACCCTATGAAGTAGGTGCTATTATTATCCCGGGACATTTCTCATTTGAGGAAACTGAGGCAGACAAATTAGATGATTTGCCCAGCGTCACAGAGCTAGTAAAATGTCTGAGTTCAGATTTGAACTCAAATCTTCCTACCTTCAAGCCCACAGCTTCATCCACTTTACCAACTGCTTTTCATAGGAGAGTAAAGTTTAAGAAGACTGGAAAGAAAGGAAGAAGCCAGGTTGTGAAATGTTTGAGTGCTAAATCTTAATTTTTTTTATTTTAATATTTCATTTTGGAATTTGAATAGGGGAGTGATGTAGTCAGAACAGTACTTTAGGAAAATCACTTTGGTAGAGTTGGTGAATTGTAGTGGGAGGAGACTCGAGGCAGAGATTCTAACCAGAAAGCTAGTCATGGTCCAGACATGGACCAGGCTTAAATGTTGTCATTGTATGAGTGGAGAGGAGATGTATATAAAAGATGTAATGGTAGAAACAAGATGATAATACATTTGATATGTATTGTGGGAATGAGGAATTAAGGGTGACACAGGTTTCAAACCTGAGAGAATGGTGGGGGACTAATAAAGTTAGAAAAAGGGGAGGATTTGGGGGGAAAAGAAAGAGTTCTGTTTTGGTTATATTCAGTTTGTAATTTGTGTGATCCTATGATTTCACCGTGAATCTTAAGTTGCTATGGGAAGCTATAGATGGAAAGGAAAGAAGGGAGTTTGGAAGGATGCCAAAGAGTAATTTTGTATTTATTCTGAGGTGGGTAAGTAGAATTAAAATCATTGCTACCAATTTTTTTAAACGATAGGAGGACCTCTTTCTAACACCAAATCTAGGATGTCCTGTGGGATATATTCATTTGCGCCTTTCATTTCTCAGTCTATCAACAAGCATTTAAGTATCTCCCATGTGCTAGGAGCTGGAGGTAACAAAGCCAAAAATGAAAATGGTATTTGGTCTCCAATGAACTTATGTTCTGTGTGGGGAGACGACGTCATTAAATCCTAACTCAGACACTTACTAGCTGTGTCACCCTGGGCAAATCTGTCCTTCAGTTCCCCTATCTATAAAATGAGAGAGCTGGACTCAATGGCTTCTAAGATCTCTTCCAGCTCTAAATCTTATAATCCTATGCATATATATCAGAATATACAAAATAATACAAGCTTAAGTTTTTAGGAGGAAGGCACTAGCAGTTGTGAGTAGCCTTCTTTTGAGGTGGTGTTAGAAGGAAGCTGGGGATCAGTAGGAGAAGGTATGGTTTGAAGACAGCCATTGGATAGGCACAGATACTAGAGATACGCGTCATGTATGAGGAACAACAAGAGAACGTTTTTGCCTGAATTAGTCTGCAGTTCATGAAGGGGAGTAATTTGAATTAGACTAACAGGATAAGTTGGGAGAAGGTTGTGAAGAGCTTTGGATACCAAGCAGGGGTTTATATTTGATCTTCATTTATTAAGTGCCTATGATGTGCCAGGCATTGTGCTAACTGCAGAGGATACCAAAAGAGGCAAAAGCTTGCAGTCTAACAAGGGAGACATCATGCAAACATATATACAAAATACATACAAAGCAAGCTATATACAGGATAAAAATAGGAAATATTGAAAGAGGGAAAGTGCTAGAACTGAGGGATTAGGGTAGGCTTCATATAGAAGGTGGTATTTTAGTTGGGACTTAAAAGGAAACCAGAGAGGTCAGTATGTAGAGGAAGAGCATTTCAGGCATGGGAGACAGCCAGAGAGACTTGAAGCAGGTAAACCCACCAGCAGGCTACTGTAGTAGGCCAGGTGTGAGGTAACAAGGGGTCTACCCTAGAATGGTAGTGTCAGGGGAGAGAGGGGCATGTTTGGGAGGTGTTGCAGAAGTGAAACTGACAGGCCGTGGCATCAGATTGGGTATGGGAGTGAGAAATAGTGAGGAGTCCAGGATGACCCCTAGATTGGGATCATGAGGGACTGGGAGGATAGTGCTACCCTTTATAGTAATAGGAAAGGCAGATGGAGATGCATGACGAGTTCACCAGAAAGACTGGAGCAGTAAAGCAGGGAGCCACTTGAATTTACTGAACAGGGTAGTAGCATGGTAAGACCTGCACTTTAGGAAAATCACTTGGATAATTTTATGGAGAATGGATTAGAATGGGGAGAGACTAGAAGTAGGGAAACTAATTAGGAGATTACTGCAATGATCCAGGTGAGGGGGCTAAGTGGTGGCTCTGTATATGGAAAGAAGAAGATAGATATGAGAGGTACTATAGAGGTAGAAATATTAAGGCTTATTAATTGAATGGATATGTGGAGTGATAGTGATAGGGCTTGAAGCCACCAAGGCTGTGACTGAGTTACTAGAAGCATAGTGATTTCCTTAATAATAGGGAATTTCGGAAGTTAATTAAGCTTGGGGGGGGGATAAATTCCGTGATTTCGTATGTAGATACAGATGGTAACCCTTCCCTGCCTTCATGAATTGCTGTGGTTGAATGATTTCATCACATTTGTGGATCAACTTTTTAATGAAGAACCCTCTCTAAACTTATCCAGCTTGGTTCTCAGATGAGAAAGTCATTGCTGAGTTCATATAGGAACCTTTTCACTTTGTAGGGCTTGCTAGAGCTTGTTTTCCAGTGGCATAGGCATCGAGAATGGCGGGAGATCAGTACCATGAAGAAGCATCAAAATGAGGTTTTAGGAATGAAATCCATACTAAGTGTCTTCTTAAATACCGAAATTTAATTTGGCCTAGAAAGTTAACTTTTGAATTAATTTTACTTTTTGAAGATTTTTCTATTTCTTTAAACTTTAATTTGATATGGTAAGATTTCAGTTAAGTACTGGAATTTTTCTTATTGGAGTGAAAAGATAGAAATTTGAAATATCAAGCCTCCAGCTAATGTAATTTTGGGAATAGATTTAATACATTGATATCCTTATTTTGAGTTTAAAAATAATATGAAGATTTTGCTTCACCTATGTGAAATTTTGCCTACCTATTGCCACTGTCCTATCCGACTTCTTTACCACGTTTCCTCCACACCCCCTTCCACAATCAAAGCCCTGCCTACCTTCCTAATCTGATTTTCTAATGCTCCGCTACACAAAATTTTTATTCCAGCAAGCTCATTTTCTAATTCTTCTCCAAAAAACTCCCAAGTGCTTTCTTACCTTGTTTCCCTCGCTTTTACTATTCTGCCATGTTGTGGTAGATACTTCAGAGCAGGAAAATGGTGATGAAAACTGTTAGGGGTGTGCTGATTCAGGTTGGTACTTAAATAGGTTCAAACAAAAAGAGGCACTCCTGTGTCGTTCTGCAGTTAATAAAAAGAAGTTACTTAGCCACAGCATAGATGCTTTCCTGATGTTCATCAAGGATATTTCAGCACTTGGGTAGCACAACCCGTTTCATCCCTATGAGAAAATATATCTGTTCAGCAGAGCAAGGTGTGACTAGTAGTGTCTTGAGACATCCACCAAGCCTTAAGGGGCCCAAATCCAAGTAGGTCTTTTATTCCCTTAGAGGAGCAAAACTTCATGTCAGTATGACCAGAGGCTACCAGGAAGCTGCATCAGGCCAAGTTTAATCCTTTGCCCAGTGTCAGTTAAGTTTCACAGAGAACTTTGCAACTTTCCAATAAAAAAAACTTGTATAACATGTGGAGAGACCAGGTTGGGGGGTGGGGAAAAGGAACTCTCATAGGGAGTGATCCTATCACATATCAACCCCATGTTGGCAAGGCTTAAGGCTCGTCCAGAAGAATTTCCATTTAAATGCTTTTAGGACTTTTGCTGAACAATACTCAGATGAGAAAATAAAAAAATAAAAAAATTTAAGGCAAAAACAATACATGTGGAACAAAAATTTTATGAACTTCCTTGAAGGAGCCACTGTAAGAAAAAGAAGAAAAATGTGCCTCTGAGAACAAAATCCAGGAATGTTAGGCTCTTCCTCCTATTTGCAGAGGACACAAGTCTCAGAAACATGGTCCATGTCGTGGGTGATGCTAGTCTTTACAGTTCACACTGTGTCTCCAGATGCAAGGCAGTGATGTGAGCAGGAACAGCACAAGGAACATGAAGTATGCCACCAATGACACCTCCATCATGGTCAACAATTCTGTGTGAGGGTCAAGTCAACAAGCAAGTTTCTGTGTGCTAGGCACTGTGCTGCAAAAATAGTCCTTG